CCTTCTATCGTGGACCTGCTGACCTATAAGCATTCACATAAAAATTGATGATTGCCCTTATTACAGGATGATTTTTACGTTCTGTGCCGTTGGGTCTCCTCAAGGTAGATTTCGCAAACGAGCGATCATTAGCTGGTCCTTTACGAGCATCCCGGTGGAAGCGTTAAGATAAATTCGAAGGAAGAAAATTTGTGTTTGCGTAAGAACATTCCGCGGTGTACAAGTATGCACTATGTATATATGTATATATATGTATACCCTGGTGCGAGTTCCTTCACGAGTTCAAGTATTTCTGAAAGAGCTGAGAGAGAGACGTGAATAAACGGTATGAGAGGGTGATACCGATACAGGATGATAGGGCAGGTACCTCGAAATAGACGAAGACAGGCTGAGATCCGTCGGAGGGTGAGAAGGAGAGACAGAATATGTTTTTGACCACAAAGTCACTAATGGGACTTAAAGGATCTGCGGTAGAGTTAGGGGAACCCCCGAACCAGGGAATGCATACCCGCCCTATCTAAACATCATTATTATACGTATCCTTTGTCTAACTACATGCTCTCGCTAGCCCCCAATTATACCCTGATAGGCGAAATTACAGGAAACCTTCGACTCCTCCGATACCCTTGTATACCTCCCTGTATCGAAGATATTGTTCAATGGACCACGGATTATGTAAACGGGATGCTGTGAAAAATTATGAGTAAACGTAGATAAAATAATATTTTAGATCGATCCTTTACATAGATGGAAATTAATAAAAAAATTATATGTCTGATCTAAATATATTAATTAAGAATTAAAGGATTGGTTCAATTATTGCAGCACCAGATATACGAACAAATCAACATCCCCGAGTCAGTAGGACAGAGAATGGTATCTATGCTGCGTCGCTTCTTCATTAAGCCGCGTGCACACGACACGATTTCAAATCACCATTTTTATTCCATTTTGCCAGTCTACTGCCGCGCTCTACGAATAATATTGGATCACGTTGCGAGTGACGTGTCGGCATCGATTGGATTTAAGTAAAATCGTAGCGATTCTGAACTACTCGTTCGCGCATGCGCACCAAGCAGCATTTTCATTGCGCGAAATCGAATCGCAATATTCGCAGCTTTGAAATCGCTCGACGCATCCTTCGCATAATTCGCGTTGGGTAATTAATTGCCGAGATTGTCTGGCAATACGGCCGATAGATATCGATGAGTAATCGAGTCGGTCGCGCGAATGCATGTAATCCGTGTCGCTGCGTAGAAATGCGACCTGGCGTTATAACGACGACGAGATTCTGATGTGGAATGCTGTAGCAAGCTCAGAATGGAACAAAACAAAATTGAACAAGACAGGAAGGGATTGTTGAGCGAGCAGGAAACGTTCTATATGAACCTTATAGGGTTCGACGTTCATTATTATCATTATAGAAAGATTAAGGGTGGCTCCCTATGTATAGGAATGATAACGACCCGTTGACATCGCCATAGTAACCCAGTATTGGATATACATTATTTTATTCGTCCAAGGTTCACTTGACGTTTTATCATGGCCGTTGGCAAATGGTATTAAATTAACATGGCATTTCTGATATGGTTGCATTAACTAAACGAAATTATTTATACGTTCCCCATAGTTTTGCCACACGCACTATAGAGTCCTCCTGATATCCCTATGAAACCCACAGTAAAATCCAACGTAGTATCGGCCATGTAAATTGTATAAAATTAATACGTGTTATTGCACTATGTGATTTTACTTTTAAACAGTGGTAAATATACTGTAGAACTGGTTTGGCTAGGCTGTGGTAGACGTGGTACCAGCTCGCGGATTTCAAATGGATTCTAGAAGCTGCAAGTAATTATAATGAAGTTCCCAGTAGAAAAAGTACCGACTAGAACAGACCAGTGGCGAAGTGGTGGCTCAGAGTTTGAAAATAGGATTCGAGGTAGAAAAACATTCAGGACTTTTATTGACGGCAATCCATTACGTTCGTGCTTTTCAGCTCCCCATCCCTTATCCTTTACCCTGTTCACATCCCTCTTTAATTTCCAACCCTTCTAACTTGCCACCGCATTTAGCCTCCCTTTTGTTTACTCCATTCCTATATATCCTTTCGTCACAACCCCATCTCGTACTCATCCCCATCTGTACCATCTAATTGCTATCTGATATCACGGTCTGAAATTCCGCGTAAATCCTACGGGAAAAATATTTCATCCCTTAGTGCGTCACGGTCTAACAAACCGGAATAAAATTCTTGGTTGATGATATTTAATTACTCTTTTCGTTACCCGTACTATACATTGCTAATTTAACTTTTTGGCTGGCATGTAACTTTTTTTTTGTAAAATAATATTTAATTTTGGATTTGGATTATTTGGACTTGGGGTGGAACAAGGACCATTTCGAAATTGGTTAAAATGCTGTGCGACACGATTATACGTAGGTTCGCCATTTCCCAATTTCCTTCCCGTTTCTCTTTGATCCTTAGTTCGGTTCCTTATATTTCTCCTTGATGGTGACAAAGGGAAAAGTTCCTCTTAATGACAGAAGTTTTATGACTGGCCATGAATCAACGCGCAATCGACCCCATCATTCCTTTAAGGTGGATCGACCCTCTATATCCATACATATATAGAAGAGTGTTACGATACTTTACGGATCTTTCGGCTAACCCCGATGAAAAGTCGTAACCTAAGGGTCGAAAATGTCTTCCGCTTCTTTTAACGTCCCATGAAAAATATTGAAGCGTCGAGATTTTCACGCACAATTATTTTCACAGAAAATGTTTGGTCCGCATAATAGTCAGGTAAGAGGCAATTTAATGGAATTTTAATTTTAATAATTTGTTAAATTATTTACCGTATCATCTGCCGTATCTTTTCAAGTGTCATTCCCATAAAGAATTTAAATAATATTTCGATCGACAGTTCTAAAAGTCTGATTTGTGCTCTTGTATATGAATTATATCTTTTAAAGATTTATACGCAAGAATATCATCCCTTATTTATTTACCCCAATAAGTTCCACTTACAAAAAAAAAAAACCTTTCTTAATTCTTCCTTTTACCAAGCTCGAGCATATTTCCTATATAATGTGTTTTCTATTTTGTGACCCCATCATTTTTAACATTTTTCCCGATTAATCCTCCCCCAAAAATTTTCAAATATCCATAATCGTGACGATTTTCCTCGTGTTCCAATGTGTTATCTATCGAGTGATAAAAAAATATGGGAGAAGTGGCCAATGAAATTTGAATAGGAAATAACGAAGACGTTAAGCCTATAAAATAAAATGGCGATGGGAGATGAGAAAAGATTAGATAGATATCTACCATGGTATTCGCCATACTGGAAAAGATCGTTTGGTTCAATGATAATCGGGCGCCTGCTTGGAAGAGGCACGCGCAAACGCTTGGGAATTATTATATTCAATGACGAGCGGGAAACTTAAATATTATTCGGAGTCCACGTAACGCAAGAAAGATCAAAGTAACACGTCAAATGTATGTGATTATCATAAAACTAGGTGGATCAACCCAAAACTCGAAATATTGCATCATGAATTTCTATCCCTGCTCCTCCTAAAAATGCCTTCATATTTTCTTATGTACCTTTAAAAGAAAATATTAGCCTAACTCTACATACCCTCTTTCCCTCTCCTTCCTCTCTTTACCGTACAAGTATCACTAGTTTTATCATTAATGGTGGGTGAGGGATGACACATTTTTTTTTTCACTATAAGATTCATCTTTGACCTCGAATTTATGTTTCACAGTAACAATACAGATCCCACGTTGGACCAAAATTATTCATCCGCTGAGCTTGCTTAACGCATCTACCCCAGATTGTGGTTGTAACACAGTCTTCTCAGATCTCTCGATCGGGGTCCTAGTCTTTCGTGTAGTGAATCTAACTAGGGATCGACCTTCTTTCTTTTTCTTATTTTTTGCACCATTCCTCGCTGTTTGCCCCAGTTGCCTATATATTTTCATCCCTTCATAAGGTTTTTTACAATGGTTCTCGCAGCTCAGGACTTTTTTCCTCATGCCTTCAATAAATAATCCTCCCGTTCCCAGTTGGACCACGAAGGGACCGTAACTCCCTCTTGGAGAAGTAGGAGCTCACGAAAATAGGCGTGCCGCATTTTCCTCCTATGTGTCATTTTTTTACTTTACCTGTCAAAAGGTTAAATAAAAGTACAGTGAGGTAGCTCTGTCGTATTGGTTCTGTTACATAAAACTTATTGCTACCCATGTAACCTATGGACGAGAGAGAAAATGGTAGAAGGTCGCCGAAAACCCCCATAGCTGAAGTGATATTGGAAACATACGATACATATTTTAGGATTTTACATAGGGGATGGTTCAATTCCTTCGTCGAAGGTAGCCTTATGTATATGCATATAATATAAATAAAAAAAAGTTCAAATGACGGTAGCCATTCGACTTTAGTTCGTGCTAGGAAATTTCGAACGGAAAAAAAAAATAGTAAAAAAGGAGCAATACTGACAGGACTGTAAAAAACGTAGAAGGGAGAAATTGGCAATTCCTACGACACCCAGTGAACGCAATCGCAAGGGTTGCGTTACGAAGTCCCCATTTCGTTTTACGGGAATCAGTCGTCCCGTGACTGTGGGCCAATTGCCATGTAGCAACTTCCGAAGGGTTAGGAGATCGCCGAAGGGTGGTCAGGATGTCAGAGGGTAGTTAAGGACCGCAATCGTAACCAGCTAGAAGTAACTTTGACTATACTTTCCCATGGGATATACGATAAATCTCATTCTATGATAATTCATGGTAATGCCCGAAACCCCCCATAGTCACATTATGAAAGTATTCGCGAATTTACTAGATATAGAAATAGCGGGAATGTGAAATTTATCTATTTTGTAAAAAAAAAATTCAAAAAATGAATATAATAAGTACGTTCCGTAAGCCTTTAAAATACTTTTGTTAAAATATAATTATTCCCATAAGAATAGTATCCCATTAAGGGACTTACCTTTAACGGCATTCAGTTTGTTCCCGACCATCTGCTTCGCCACGAAAGCCGCCATTGTGCTCGCTGCTCGTTGCTGCTCTTTCCGGATTCTTCAAGAGCCTGATAACAGATGAGAGAAATGGCTATTAGTATTTTCCTAGGAGATCCGCACGGAATTACAGCGAATATGATATCGATCCCGTATTAAAGAGCCACCGTTAATAATACCTTTACTTCTGTCATTTTTATTATTTCAATCCCGCGGGATTCGTTCGATATATGCAAGAGCGAAACGATAATTAAAAACTAGTTATAGATCTACGAATTTTGTTCAGTTCTAAATATATTTATACAAGATGAAATATATATATATATATATATATATATATATATATATATTAAATATTATACATCTGTATTTTATACCAATTTGCCAGTTTTCCGCCAAAATCCACAATATTCCGATCGTAAACAAATTCTGGAGGAACTTTAAGAATGCTATTGGGATCGGACCGAATGGAGGTAAGTGTGTCGTGGAGGGGGTTAAAGGGCGGGGAAGGAAAACTTTTTTCGTGTATAAGATGAAATATCGTTCCCCCAAGGACGATAATGCCGTTGAACCTTCTTCGAGAGAAAGTATTTTAATCTTATCTCACATTCGACTATCAAGGTTCAAAGAAGGTAAGGGTAGGTGGGGGTGGTACGTGAGACAGAGAGAAGTGGGATGGAGACTGAAGGATAAGAAATAAAAATGAAAGAGTAATAGCGAAATAAGAAAGACAGAAAGAGAAAAAAGAAATAGGAATTTGTCAAAGTTCAAATGACGATTTCTCGAGATTGCCGTATCTTAGTTGTTCCTTGAGTAGACAGAGGTCACCGTGAAAAGGGCAAAGAAGTCGTCCTTTAGGGGACGGAATGAGATCGACCGTGAAATATATTCATGTCCAAGAACCGACAAACAAACATTCGAGGTTAGGATGGAGTGACAGAGCCAAACCGTAAGATCGATAAGAGGTACCAAAGAAGCTGCGGAGACGCTCGGCGTCGAGACGTCTCGGCGCCTGGTGGCTCCTATACAATACGACGATTTCACAACCTACAGACAACCTTATTGTTATAATGGATAATACCGAGAGAGTCCTACATTCACTCTCGCGTCTTCCTTTCTTTCCTAGCAATCAGAAGCTACCCTTATATTCGGATATACGATCCTGTAGCTTCTTCCTTTGATTCGATACTCCAAGGTCTCTTTGATCCCCTTTTGGCATGACAGCTATTCATGAAATTTGCACACACGGTATACAAATATATATATAGACTATAGAATATACAATTAAACCTATATATAGTACATTGTTTTGCTTTCAACCCTAATTCACAGGTTACCCTGTCAACCTACCGACTAGTTTCCTAGCTGATATAATCCCTTCAAACGTCCCTTATCCACGTATAAAGGTATTTCACGTTAAAAACATCCGAGAGAAACTGTAGCCACGGCGGAGGTAAGCAGTATCGATGTCATTTTGCGGACTTTAGTAGCACAACTCGCGTCTGTAATTCTATATGGTTCAGCGAGTGCACTTCGCGATGTGTACATTCAGAAATCCTAGACTCTGGTTGAAAGAACGGTTTTACGAAGCAACTATGAGTTTCAAAAGTATATAGCCGAAGTAGTGCTGTAAAGAAAATCGGAAAATTTTGAGCTACAATCAATATTTTGTTTGTCCATTACGTCAAACAAATCTAAAAGTAGAGTAATCAAATGAATCAATGAAATCGTCGCAGAGGAGAAAATGGCTGTGGTGGTATCAAATGATAATATGTCTATTGATAAGGATTTGCGAAAATTCTTCGAGTCAACGAGCTAGTCTGATTTAGTGAACGCCTAATACGGATGCTGTGTATTTTCTAGAAATTCCTGGAAGACTAGAGATAGGGTATTGATTAGGGACGATAAAAACATCTGTGGATATTTCGTTAATTGGTTATTCAATGTTAACACGATTTCACGTAATTTTCGTAGTGAATGATAAATTGATATAATTTTAAAACGGGATGAATTCTTGATTTTGAATTTTTTTGTCATCTCGATAGTCTTCTTTTGAAAGTACGCTCGTTAGTAGAATTTTCAGGACATCTGAGTTCTTAATCCATGTTCTAATTAAATAGAATAAAGGGACGAGTTTAAGCTTTAGCTGCAGCTAAATCCCTCCCCCAGAGAGGGCTTAGGACTAAAGGGATGATTTTACCGATCTTGGAAAGCAAAGGGTTGGTAGTGACGAAGGTGAAATGCCGTTATTCAGAATTCCCGTTTACAATATGTCGAGGGTTAATCGCCTCCGTATTTGAACATTCTAATGGTTTGCTCTTCCGCTTTTCCATTCGTTTCTTGACTTTTACCTTCTAATGATCTTTCATCATTAACTTCTCTTGCTCGAATGAGTGACGGCGATGTGAATAAAAAACCTTAGAAATAGTATTGTTTAAAAATGCAATAAAACAGGAAAAAGTTTATGTACTCAGTTCATTTATAAATTTTAATCACCTACAAAACGAGCTATAGGTAAACCATAACGATAGTACTTGTACCATAACTACATGTATACACAGATACCATTCCTTAAATTAAATTATCCTTTTATTGATTAATTTCTTGTATGCAAAATCGATTTTTATATTGCACGTTATGCATTTTTATCGAAATACAAGGGCATGTTTTATACTATTTATATACATAAACTTTCATACTTTTGTAGCCTAACTTTCATTATTAAAATATTTCATGTACAATGAAATATAAATTTATTTTTCACGTCATAAATTTAACCAGACGAGTTCCTGTTATTAAATATGTAAACAAAAAAAGGTATATGAAAGAGGAACATTTTTTTAAAACCCGTTACAACGTTTGACGAATGAAAAGGTTGGTACAATGAGTATCAAGCGGCACCAACTTTGCGGTTAAAAAGAAAAGTAAATTGGCGGTACGTCGATTCCTTTTTTTCGGGAAAATGTCACCGCAGCATGTCTCCGTTTACGGGGACATCCCTAAAGTGAAGTGCAGGGATAAAGGGGCGTATTTTAAACGGAGTCATTTACCAACCCCTTTAATTAATTTCACGTTATCAGGATCTCTTTAGTTTAAATTCCAAAGGAATCTCTGACGACGGGAAATTCCCTAGATGAATCCAAGGCTAAATTCTCAAGGGTCGTATCTGCGTCGCTTAAAGTGTTCATATACTTTATACACTTCCATCGATATACATGCATATGTAATATGGCAGATCGAATTACATGAAATTAGCGCAATAATGTATTCCGATGGGAAACGTTCCGTATGTTTTCTCCATGCGTCACTGGTAAATTGCAGCTTGATTAGAGTGCTAATTATTCGGCAGTTACTCATGTTACTTCCAATTTCCAAATGCGATTTCACGAAAAATCGGTAAATAATTTTGTTTTCGAAAAAATTCTATTGCCTGTATCAATTTCATAAACACACGTATGATCAGCTGATACGAATTGAAACCTTGAGATTCAAATGATAGATGGAGATGCAAAATATGGGGATTTTTTTAAGTTTCACATATCTCGATATAAAATCTGTACACCCTTGTACATTGACAGACAACGAAATACCGTATATTTATAATAATTCTGTCTTCTCTTATCCTGAGAGTCTCTTACATTGTATACTCCTACCCCTGTTACTCGTACTAGATTCTCGATCCCTCTCACTCTTAGCTTTTAATTATTCCCCGCGGGATAAATATTAGTCTTCCTAAATGGCCGAGATTTTCATCTGTTATATATATATATATATACGCCACCCCTTTCCCCGCGACGGGACTTAAGAAGAGAGATGTTTTAATTTAAGATAATATTTTCTCACACCACCCTAAGACTTTTCTTTTCCACCCTCGAAACACAGTAAATCCCACCTATAAAAATTGCCCCTATATACACGCAAACTTGAGTAGGAAAACACAGTATACAATATATATCCGTCTGCTGAATTACATTTCCACTTTTAATTTATCACTTTTATTATGTAATAATCAAATTCATTATGGACCACGTGGTTATCATCCCTATTCATATGCATAGGGACTGTGCTTTTTTATTAAAAATAAAAAATTTTGGGATTTTTAAAATGAAAAATTGTGCAAGCTGAGATCACGTATTTTTCGTTTTTTTTTTTTTCTCGAAAAGTATCGTTCCAGTACTAACGGCAAGATTAGAGAATCTTCCTTCAGGTTAAAACGGAGGGACTCATGAAACGGGATTACCCAGGGCCCATTTTTGCAAATACAGGCTTGAAGATTCTTGGCGAATAAGTAAATTGAGATTGCATTATAAAAAACAATCCAGTAAGACTCTGAAATTGCCTGGAAGCTTCTATCATCTTGATCGTCTTTCCAATCGTATTTCTTTCTTAGTTCGCTTCCCCTTTTTTTTTTCTTACTTTACTTTATTTATATGGCGAACGTCGTTCCATCCATGTGGCTCCTCGCCTCTCAGACTGATTGGAACAAATCATATCCGCATCGGAATTGATTACAGAGAAATAATACCGGTGAAGCTTTTCTATAGGGTGCACACCCTTCCGATATCTACTTTATATACTGCTTTATTTTTCTTTCCTGTTTTAATGAAAATTTCCGGTTACATTTCCAAGGATCAAACTGAGAGTGATATTGAAAAAAAGTAAGTACCCAAATTTAAAACGTATCTTTTTGTTTTACTTTAATTTTATTTCAATCGATAAATCCTAAGCGAGTTCCCGAGTATCTGTACATAATGAGGAAGCCTTTTTCGGTTGTAACGATACATCCTGTACGAAAACCGTAAATGTCGATCGATGCAAGCTGAAGTCCTTTACCAGCAAAACATCCTGGTTTATTAGTCATCCCTTATTGAGGGCTCCTCGTAGGACTTCCGTTACTCTTAAAACGAGGGTGACTAGAAGTACACGTGGAAGGGATTATAAACGAAATTCGCCCTAGAACCGATTTTTACATTTACTCAAACTGACAGGATCAAAGCTTCTATTTTCGTCGTTCCTTTGAAATTCATCCCCCATCCACCACGGTTTACAGTGAACCACCCTCTAATATTAA